CCGTCTTTTCTTATCTACTAGCTGCTTTGAAACTATTTTTTATTTTAATCAGCACGTATATCGATTGAGTATAATCATTGTTTTTAACTCGTTAAATTGTCTTTTTGGTAATATACTTTGGAGGATATTTGTATAAGTAGTTTAATACAATGTTATGCATAATATGCATTTTTCTCTAGTATGTTTTATTCTGATGAGTATATCTATAACGTTGACCTAAATCTCATTTTCAAATTATTATTTTTAAAATAAAATTAAATGTTAATTTGATTGCGTTTCTACAGTAAGGTATCAAATCGCTTCTTGGTGAAAATCAATTCCATTGTGTTAATGATAATGACTTAAAATTTGACATTGTTTTCCAAAAGTGGTCTTATTTAGTTCCCTATTTAGTATGTTCTAAGCTAATCAGTCACTTCGACTTGAATCTCGTATATTTTCAAATTAGACTGCTTTATGCATCTCATGAAGAAAATCATTTTAATAATAGACTGTAAGACGTCAAATTGGCTTCTTGATAAAATTTTTAAGCATTACGCAATTCAATCAATTCCATGTTGATTATTCTAATAATAACTTAATTTTTGTCATATGAACTTTTTTCGTCAATTTTAGTGATAAAATATACTTTGTAGGAGGTATTTCAGTTCAATATTATGCGTAAAATAGGTTTTCAGCTAGTATGTATCATCATGATTTGTATTTTTTTTATATTTACACTTTATATTTTTCTTTTATCTACTTGAAGTAAATTTAATTTTTTATTACAATGTAGTAAATTTATTCTTCTAAATAGTAAGATTTAAATTAATCTGCTAGTAATTTAGTTCAAAGTTATTCCATTTTTTTGCTTAGATATCAACATTTGTCTTCAATTACATAGTTGCATCAGGGTATAGTTCAATATGTTATTTTAAAATTTTTAGAGTGCATGGAGTTTCGTATTTATGAAATTATTACAAAAGAGCGTTCCACTAATTGTCAAAGGTATTATACATGATTATAGATTACAGTAAAATAATCAATATGAAATTGATTGAATTGCTCAATTTGGATATGTATGATCCTACAAAATTTTGCAATTATTTTTTTATATTCTTAATTTAATGTAATATTTGCTGCACGAATTTGTACATAAATTGTTAGTATTCTATTGCATTTTTGCATATTTCTAGATTTTTTGTTATAATAAGAAAACTATCGGCGTTTGTTCATAATCATGGATGCTCTTGTTTATGAGATCATTTTACTACTTCTTCTTACCATTTATACGTTTTACTCTTTTTTTAAACTAAAGATTCATGACACTACTAAGGTCTTCTTACAAGATTTATTTTGTAATTTGCATTTCTTTATGGTATTGGAAGTATTTCATTACCATGTCTTGGAGGAATTTAGCATTTTATAAATAGTTGTTTTTCAATTTGGCACTTCTTTCTATGTTTTTTTTGTATTCTAAGTAAAATTCAAAATATCATTTACTTATATTTATTAAAATTATAGTTTAATATATCTTTTTTGAAGTAAATATTTGCACATTCACGTTTTATTTAAATTATATTAGTGTATGATTATATCAATACGAAAATCTTTTGAACGCTTTCTAGAATGTCTTGCGCATCACTTTCATATGGTTTAGTTTTATATACTCCCATAATAATACAAAACTCGAGACACAATAAAAAATATCTTTAATAGTTTATTGTGTCTTGAGTTTTGTATTATTCTGAGAATAGTCTAGTAATAACCCTATTGATATCGGTTTCTATAAAAATTTGTTAAAAACTTGTTTATCATTTTATAATTATTCAATTTGTAATTTATAAGTACCTATAGTAATATAGCAATAATTTTACCAGTACAAAACTTAAATGCTAAATAAACACTTCATGATTTTTTATTATCTATTCACAACACTTATTGCTGTCCAGCATTATGTTTAAATATAATTGTCAAACAAAATATTAAGTTTAAGAATATATTCCAAGAATATTATAACCTTTGGAGACATTTCTACAAGATAGTCCATATCTTTGCAAACGACCATTAGGCTGTCATCTACCACGGTTCGCCGTTCCTCTTGGTAGAACTCAGGGGTAGCAAATATCCTCTTTTAGAAAATACTTCTAAAAATATAGTAAATTTATATATTTATTAGCGGGATGTGTATCAATTTAGTTATGACTAAATTACGTGAATGTGAAATTACGAACAATAAGTAGTAGCTCCTTATGAACTGAAACTATATGGAAGTGATGCCCATAGATAGTTGTTCAATTTTACCTTATATAAGAGTATATAGCTGAATAAATATACATGCATATTTTACATTTTTAAAACTCTTCTATTCTGCCGATTAGTCAATGAAAGCAATAAGGAAAAATGGTTAATATATGAGAAGTAAGGTATGTCATTATGATAGGATATTATTAGATACTCCAGAAGATTTATAACATGAAACATATGATATGACCGATATTGTTTCGCGAATCTTCATTCCCTTTTAGATCCAAATAACTATGCAATTTGAGCATTATTTATGAATTACTAAATTGCATTTGAATTGATAATTGATTAAATTATTTTAATTACAATGTTTTATACGAATAATATTATACGATTTATATGGATTTATTTGAATAGTGGTAGAAAAAACACAGTTTCAAATTACATTTATTATTTGATACATTTGATATTTAAATATTCATTGCGTGAAAAACTTTATAAACAATATCAGTCACACAATTTATATGTATACGATTTTTAATATTTTATATATTGGTGAAAGTAACTTTGAAGTGGCATTTTATAACATGTTGTATACATGTACAATATGAATAGTTATAGTTAAAATAATTCATTCAAAATATATGAAGTAAGTTTCCATCCCTGAATGTAAAACGATCCAGTTCCACTTGTCGTATCCTCTTAGTCGATTTGAACAGGTTTCCAGATATCTTGACTGCAACTTCTACCAGGCACTTAGATTTCAACTAGTTACTCTAAGAAAAAACACGTTTTAAAAATATAATTTTCATATAGAATTAGAGATTTTATGCCATCTTTGGTAATTTAGCAATACTTGTATCATATAATACTTTACTTCCTATGGCAATTTAATGTCACAAAAATAAACTTTTTTTTTTTGAAAATATCCAAGTTCTGTACTAGGTTGCAATGGGGACAATTCTAATTATCGTAGCAAATTTCAAACCCACTAAAGTAGTAATTTTGCAAAATTGATGACCTCGCGTTATTTGATATCACTGCATCCATTGCATGCAAGAATTACAGGCCGAAGCCGGTAAAGTAACGATAATGGGGTATCGCCAGCTATAGCATATTATCTGACAACTGCAAACCATGTTCTGTACGAAATATGGCTGAATAAGGTATTTTAGACCACACCACTATTGTCGTGAATCGTTATATATATATATATATATATATATATATATATATATATATAAGCAATATCTGAGACTTCGCAGCTATGACCTCTAAAAAAAACTGGGGCGGTTATCATTCCTCTGAACAAGAAAATAAATGTATCTATTATTTTTATTTATTTATTAATTTATTTTAATTGGCCTTGCATTCTTAGAGCATTTAGCAACCAACAACATTTCATTTTTATATTCTGTACAACCTCCATTTATATTCCACACTATTTTTTATATATTCTATATCATCTTCATATATAAATCCTATTCTATTCATTTTTTTGCTCTTTACAACTGATATCTTAACTTTTATATCTTTTTTTTCTCTTCAAAATCTGATCTTCTCAAATTTTCATCTAGCTTTTCTTTTTTTTCTTTGAATTTTCTATTCAAATTCAACTCAACAATTCAAATTTTATTTTAACTTCAAATTGACTATATTTTTTAAATTCTATGTCAATGACAGGATTCGGTTCTGAGATTCCTGTCGTGTGAGTCGGACACACTACTGATGAATATTCTAAATATCTTTAAATTTTAAAATGATTATATATAAATTGTATGTAATATTCTCTTAGTTTAAATATATTTTTTTTTTTGTTACAGGTAGGTCAACTCAAGATATTGTTGCTGAGATGGGCGTGAGGGTAAGTCCAGTTGCATGTTTTCTTTATTATAATAAAATCATTATAAAATGTTATTTCAAAGTTTGTATTTTTTCAATACTAAAGTTTGAAATGCATATTATAATGAAGCCAAAACTTATTTCATTTTATGTCGTTTTTTGAAACATTTTGTTTCGAGTATTTGAATTGGTGTTTTTTAAAGTTTATTTTTTTCAATAAGTTTTCAGTGCATAGTGTGTATTATAGTGAGTGAAGTGTTGAATAACATATCAAGAAGTGTCCCTCAGTCCAAAGCTACGCCCGGATATAGTCGAAATTTTCAATCATGATCACTTTTTTATAACACATTTTATTCAGTTTAACTTCAATTAAATTTCAGTTTTCATTATTTAGTTCTTTATTCGCCGTAAGTTTATCTGGTATTTTAAATTTTTAATTAAATTTTAAGTTCATGTTTATCTATCATATTCAGACACCTGCTTCAAACCTTTTTTCTAAAGTTACTTGATTTTGAATTAGCTATATTTAATCGGCAATTTTTTTTCACATATTTTTATCATTGTTTTTATATCTTGTTATAATCAGTTTATTTAGGATAGATCTTGCTGTTGTATATTGCTGGTAATCCTGTATTGCTGGTTAAAAAGGTTAGTATCATTTTATCAAACTTAATTCGAAATTTTTAGTATGCATTTTTGTTTTAAAATAGATTTATTTTATAAATTTGATTTTACTATTTTTATATAGTAGTTGTAGTAGACCTTGTATACATTTGTTAAAATTTAATTACCTACATTTTTTATAAATAATTTAGCATTTTAGAGTTCATTCATATTTGTCAATTTGATCAATATAATTTTTTTTCATATTCTTTTCATATCTTATAATAATGATTTTATTTAATATAGGTTCTGGTTTTTGACTGTTATCTAGTATCAGGTTGTAGATTGTTTGTAATCCTGTATTGCTGGGTATAAAAAGGTAAGTATTAATTTATCAATCTTTTTCATTCGAAAATTTCAGTAAGCATTATTATTTTAAAATAATTTCTTGGAAAAATTTTATTTTGTTATATTTCATTCTGAGATTATATTAGTCTCTAGTCGGTTGAGAGTTCAAATTTTAGCTGAATGTAGCACATTTTTGATTAAGTACTACATAGCTTTATTGTAATAGATATTTGTCAAAATCTAATTACCTACATTTTTTATAATTTAGCATTTTAAAGTTTTTTCACTGTTTTCACTTTGATCAAAATAACTATAATTTTATTTCATATTATTTTTATATCTTATTATTTTGTTTGTTTAATATAGGTCTTATCATTTGGATATGCTGGGCTGTAGACTGCAGGTAATCCTGCACTACTGATAGCTACATACTGGTTAAAAAGGTTAGTGTTATTTTATCAATCTTTTTCATTCTAAAATTTTAGAATGCTTTACATTTTTAAATAATTTTTTTGGAACAAATTTAATTTTGCTACTTAAATCTGAGATTCTGTTAAGCTTTATGGTTCCGCTATTGTTCTGTTGATATTGCATTTATATTGAAGGCGTATTGAGTTTTTTGAGGTTTATTCATTGATTTCTTTATCAGTGTAGTGAACATTCTTTTTAAAAAGTGGTCCTATTCAAGTTCTTTTTTAATCTATAATATGGAATACTATTTTTTGAAACACTTATTATTGTTAACAACTCGTTTTTCTTGATTTTAGTTATTTTACTTTTAGTCGTCAATCACCTTTATTATATCATTGTTTCGTCATAGTCTTTGAATCCTATTGTGATGACATTGTGCAGAAGAAATACTTGTACCAAATATGGGCTCAATTTAGTTTCTTTTTCTTTTTTCAATAAAAATGCACTTACCACCGCTATTCACTCGTTTGTACAATTCCAAAGTGTTCAGTCGACTGTCTTCATATCGGTTGACATTTCCAATTTTTACCAGTAGCACATGACATCAAGACAATGTCAATAAAATACCATTATTAGTATCTAAAATAGTTTCAGTCGATATGTAAAATATCATTTAATCCTCGAATCAACCTCTGATTCCAATATAACGTCTAATTTTGCGGAAGCCAGCAAATTGCATAGTGTTGTAATTGGAAGCTATTAAATGCACTACTATTGACTGAACAATGTCGTTGTATGCTTATATACTTTCCGACTTCCACGTTTCCGTGTTAAGCTCTCTCGGTCTCACAGCACGCGTAAGAGTCCGAAAATGCAGTTGTACGAATATCACACTAATGCAGTTGCGTATTAGTGTGTAGGCCAGCGACTTTGGTAAGAATCTAATGTGAATCCAAAATTGATTAAAATTGATGTGATGTTTATAAGTATTAAACTATGCTTTCTTCATGTAATCATATTCCTTTTTCGCCTATTTCGCCTATTATTTTCCCATTTGGGATTTTCGTTAGATATTTTTCCTGTTTTATATATTTACTTTTTTTACTATTTTATACACATTTTCAACATATTCATTGTTATTGAATATGTTCATAAAATTTGACAAAAATAATACAATTTAAATTTTTGATAACAGAGAACTATCCAAGAAGATTGAAAAGAAAAGCGCCACTGGATTTAAGCCATCAACTCTCCTGATAAAAAATGGAAATAACTTAATCATTATTTATAAGAAATTATTCCATAAGTAAATTGTTAAAATTATATAATTATCAATAAAATATTGTGAAATTTATATCGAATGAAACAACAACTACTGAGTGGTTTTTTCCAACATGCCCTTGCAGTATACAATGTCTCTTTTCGGCCGACTATTCTAAATTCATCAAATTTATTGAATGTCCTTTACTGGACAGTTGTAAATCAAAGAGATAATAAAAAAAAATAAAAAAAAAAATTAAATTTTTATTTATCTATTTCAATTTCTAAAAATTTTATAAATTGTTACCTTGCAATAGATATTATTATTATTAATATTATTATTAATTAAGTTTTTTATCGATTTTTTAAAAATGATTTTTAAATATAATAAATAAATTCGTATTAAATTTAAAAAAAATCTTAGTTAATTTTTTTGATTTCTCTTAAATAATTTGAGTGTTCTACGTAATAAAATAAATAAATAAATATAAAAATTCAATTAGTTAACATTTTGGTTCCTTCTTAAATGTACGGAGTATTCCATTGCTGCAAATTAAATTAATTTTTTATTTATCTATTTCAATAATATATCTGTAAGGTCTCTTAAATATATTTTTAAATTTTTATACATAGGCTAGATGAGGTTTTAAGGTCCGGGAGGAAAATGTTACACCACCATTATTTCAAAACCAAGTAAAGAGTTAAATACTTTAACGTACTATTTTATAGTAGAAATCAAAAGATATGTAACCAAACATTACCTTAATCAGGAATTTATCAGCCATGTACCAATATTCGTTACAAAAGTTATTATATTCGTTGGTATTTTCTTGGCTTTGAGATTATCATACATAAATATAATTCTTAAGTATTCGTTGTTTTATAAGATGAATTGTTATTTTTAAGATAGTTATACAGTTTTTTTATATAGTCTTTATAAAAGCTTACATTTGGATGATGTAAAACGGATCAACTAAATCTTTACACTGGCAACTGTGTAAACAATAAGAAAATATTAAATATAAAACTAAATTAAGTTTATTGAAGCAATTTTACAAGAGATAAGTTAAATTAATAATTATCCCAATACTCTGCTGGTAAATATTTCTAACAAGAAACCTCATCCAGGTTGAATGCAGAATGCAGTATGATCTTTGTAAAAAATGTGCCCTTGAAATTTGTATTTCATAATGATTAAATATTGAAAATATTTATTAAAAAAGTAAATTAAGTTAAAAAAAACAATTTTGCAAGAGATAAATTAAATTAATAGTCATTCTAACTGCTGGTAAAAATTTCTTGCGAAGTACCTGATCCAGGTTGAATGCAATATGGTCTTTGTAAAAAATGAGCCCTTGAAATTTGTATTTCGTTATGATTGGATAATGTAGATATTATTACTATATTATAAATTAAAAATTGTACCTGTTTCCACCTGGTTTGTCCTATTTTACCCTGCCTATGGTATAGAAATAAATAAAATAAATAAAAGGACTAATTAACAAATTTTTGAAAAACAGCAAAATACAACACATATCTACAATGATGAATTGGGAGATTAATGAACGTAATCCTATGTTAATTTCATATGATTTATTTTATCATTGATTTACTATATGAATCTTACTGGTCGTTGATGTGGCGTCTATTTTGTCTGATATTGTGATGTTATTCCGTCTTTTCTTTCTATTTCTTCTAAGGTATTTTTCTACCGCTTTTTTGGGATAATGCCAAAGTCGAAGACCGACGTATATTATTCCATCTTTATTTCTTGACTCTTCCTTCATTCGCTTACTGAACCTGCGTCAGGTAAGGTCAGGTTTTGTAAGGTAAGGTAAGGCGCGATTTTGTTATTTTCAGAATAGAATTGCAAAGGCATATTTAATTTAATAAATTAAGATAATAAAACCGTATAAATTAAAATTGTAGATTTCATAATAGTTTTGAGATTTTTTTTTTCTCCATCATATAGTAATTTTTACACCTGTCCTGGAATGGACAACAAGTAAAACTGTAGTAAAATGACTTTAAAAATGAAAAATCTTCTGACCAGTTAGCAGAAATGATGAAAATAAAATATTTAATGTAATATATTTTTTTTATCTTGCCTAGTACTATTTGTGGAGTATTTTTCTGACAAGTGAGTTTGGATGAACTTCGAGGCTGCTTTTGTAATTGTCTAAATGTATTCGTATTTTTTCGTATTTTATCATTTATTGTTATGCCGGAGTCTTCGTGCATTAATTGAAAAAAAATTGAATATTCTAGAGAATTTTCTAAAGCTATTTTTATGTCCTATATACTATCCATTTTTTTAGTTCGTGAGATAATATTTCAAAGCAATTTCTGTATAGTTTTAAATATAATTTCTTTCAAAGTATTTACTGCAAAATCCAATACATTTTTCCCTGTACCAGCAATATTCACATAAGATAAACAATGTCTGATAAGAAAACGGTCTCGCACAGATATCACGTCCTAAAAATTATTGTGTGAATCGAAATCCAATTACTCTGCGTCGCGAATCACTAATAAATCACACGATCTTGGATCTCTGATCTCGGATCTATAGTCAGAGGTCTCGACAAAAGGAAGTGCCCAATGGATTAATCAGGGGATGTAAACATAATACAATTCTAATTAGGGTATCCATCGAAATCAATTATATTGTAAAAATCGTTGATAAATAATCGTATCCAAACATACGATCCATATTTTCTAAGGTGTGCTAAAATGTTCAGCATGCTCTAAAAGTAAAGATATCCAAAAAAATTTAATTTCTACTTATTTGCAATTAATGTAACTTACCTACTGGAAGTTTTGATTTTGATAAAACAGCGTCATCTACATAAACTTTAGGGGGCGTCCATTAATCACGTGATCGATTTTTCAGGTATTTTGGAACATCTCCTCCTCCCCCCTTGGTGATATGTCTTGATATTTAAAATTACCACCCTTACCCCAATGTGTATTTTTAGTAACGTAAAATTTTTCGAACAAGTTTTTCGAGTTTACGAAAAAATCGTAAAATTTGTGACCCTTGTTAGACCCCTCCATCTCCAACGTGATTTATTCGTAATTTTGGGTCAAATCACTCCCCTTCTTCTAAAAGCCTTACGTGAATAATGGACGCCCTCTACAGTTAGTATTGAGTTGAATATTATCTTATAAAGTATATCAATATTATTTCAAGAAGGAAAATTTACTTTTTGAATTAAGTTAGATAATAATAAATATCTCAAATAAAAATTTTGGATTAAGATTTTATAATAAAACCTTCTCATATACCTCTAATATTTTAAAGCGTTTGGTTTGACTATCAACTCTATCACTATCAAAGTTTCATCAAAATCCCAAAAGAGTAAACCTGAGGTTCCACTTGTGAGATCTAAAACGGAATGTTCACATCAAGTTGGTACAGATTGCTGTTAATTAAGCATTTATTAGATATGCTTTTCTAGGATATTTCTTTATAAATAACTACTAATTTTTTATGAAAGGTTGACGACACCTGAATCGCATAATGCTCGCGTATATGCAGTAAACCTGTCTCAATTCTCTCGCGCTTTATCTCGGACACAATAAATTTAGTCGGACGCAACACGGTCGCCCTTTACTTGCGAACAAATCGAAATTAATATTGTTCTGCTGAATTGAGATGTTAAACTTAAATATAGTGATGTATAAAGGTAAATGGATTTATGTAATGGGCTTTGAGAGGTCCTGATTTAAAAAAGTTAAGGTAAAAATGGGTGCGGTTGTGCCAGGTGAG